GGGAATCTTCAAAGATCCCTCAGCAGGGAAAATAGGAAAACATTTGGTTTGCTCGATACAAAGTGACATATTTTGTCAAAAGTGGACAAGTAACAAGAAGTCCACAGCAAGCACAGGATAAGAAGAATTTGGTGATTATCAAAAGCACTGAAGTTGAAAGGTGTTAGGGAAGAAAACAAAAGGCACCCTAATTAACTTTCAGCTAAGGGCAGCAGGTATTTGAATATATTTGAATATATTCAAAGTTAGTGGCTCTATTTTTTTAAGGGTAGCTAGAAACAGCAGCAGTGAAGACAATGTGATTTTGTAACTCAAAAATGAAAGGAATATTTATCTTTCCAAGATGACAACATGCAATTGTAGCAGAAAAGTTCATTTTACTACAAATCAGTATAATCTCAAGTGTTTTTGAAGCCAATGACTTTTTTGCATTCATCATTTAGTATTGTCTAATAAAATAATTTATGGAACTATAAAAAAAAAGAGTTGTGAGGTAGCAGTAGCCAAGATAAATGCTTAGGTTAGGGTTAGCATTTGTCTTCATGAGGGCTTTCTCCACTATTTGTGTTTTTCAAACTTTTCTATCTCACAGCACACTTGAACCTAGAGTTAAACTTCCATGGCACATTTAAATTGTTGATCCAAAAAAAAGTAAAAAAAAAAACACTGTTTTTGGAACTTCTTTCAAAAATAATTTAATTAATGATCTCTAAAACTTTTCATGGTACCCCTAAGATCTTCTTATAGCATGCCAGTGTGCTGTAGCAGGCTGATTAGAAATCACTGACCTAAACCAATTCTGGGTAAATAATTCTGGCAAGCATCTGAGGCTCATTTGACCACAAAAGAAACTTCATAGTATGCTTTTCTTTCAAAAACTCACATTTTAAATTTGAGGAATAATTAATATGCCCTCAGTTTATCAGACTACCAGCACCCAACCCATGTTCTGATCTGACCTCTATTATTGCCTTCCCACTTCCTGCCATCTCTTCTTGAGGATTTAGAACAATATTCTTTGCCCCTGCCAGGTGTAGTGGCTCATGCCTGTAATCCCAGTACTGTGGGAGGCTGAGGCCAGAGGATTGCCTGAGCTCAGGAGTTCAAGGCTTGTCTGTGTGAGAGTAAGACCCCGACTCATGAAAAAAATGGAAAAACCCAGCCGGGTGCTACAGTGAGCCCCTGTAATCCCAGTGGCTTCGGAGGCTTTGGCAGCAGGATGCCCACAGCCTGAGTCTGAGGTTGCAGTGAGCTACAACACCACTGCACTCTGCTCAGGGAATGGGGTACAACTCTGTCTCGACAAAAATAAATAAAATATATATATATACACACACACACACATAATATACATACATATATATATACTTTGCCCCTAGTGCTTTTTTTGTAGGCAATTACCAAAGAAAGCAATGTTTGAGTTCTCTAAGAGATCAAAGGGGAGGGACTGTGTTCTCATCTAAGAGTTAGGAGATCTAAACTCTTATCCCCTGACTACCAGTGAGACTAGTCAGGTAATTCTTCTGGGCCTGTTTCCCCTATTAGATTATTTCTAAAGACTTTTCTACTACTAACATTTTTCAGTTGTAAGAAAGATCTATGATGATGAAAGGAATGGTTGTTGTTATGGGATATTAAGAAATTATTATGGACCAGGGTGAATAATGTTTATTGTCATAAGATAGATTTTTTTACATTGCAGACAGGAAGACAGCCTTCTAAAATCTCAACTAAGAGTCTGAATAGAAATTTAGAGAAGATAATAAACACCTTTGCTCTATTTTCCATATTGTTTGTGTAACTCTTAGACAAAGTTAGAACCCCTGCTATGTGGTTCCACAGAACCTTAAACTTCCCCTACATATCACTTATTACAACACATCATAATTGTTTGTCTTTCCTAGTGGATATGCTCCCTGGAGGCAGAGATAGTGTCTGTGTCCTTTCCTCTCATTAAATCCCTACCACCCAACTCAGTACCCAGCAGATAGTAGGCAGTTAACATATCTGTTGCATGAATGCTGTTGCAGCCTAGTTCCTGCCTCAAACAGAAACAGTCCTAAGAGGCCAGGATCACCTGAGCTCCTAAGTTCAAGACCAGCTTGAGCTAGAGTGAGACCCCATCTCTAAGAATAACCAGGCATCATGGCAAGCGCCTGTAGTCCCAGCTACTCCAGAGGCTGAGGCAAGAGTATCACTTGAGCTCAAGAGTTTGAGGTTGCTGTTAGCTGTGATGCCATGGCACTCTATCAAGGGTGACAAAGTGAGACTGTCAAAGAAAAGAAACAGTCCTAAGAAGCTTCATTTCAAATCAGGTGATTAATTTTTTTCCCTCAGAATATCAACCATTTTAGAAAAATAAATATATGACCAGGATGGCTAATGTTAATGCTTTCTTTTCTTAGAGAATAAGATCTTTCCTTCTTTCACTTCATCACACTGTTAAAAAATGATTTGAAATTTTTATGATGATGCCTATAACTAAAACACAGTAATTTGATTTCTGTTATTTTCTGAAAGAAATGAATTATCTGTTGGCCTCTTTTTATATCCACTTTGGCAGGTAAAATTTCTCCTGGTGGTTTTCTTCACAGATGACTTTTTCAGAAACAGCACTACAGAACAGAGTGGGCAACAAGCTAGTAATAGAGAAGTAGAAACAGAGAAATTGAAGAAGCAAGAAGACTTAGGGCTAATGTACCAAGCTTCATATGCTGCCTCAGAGAGAACTATCAGCTAAAGGAAATTAGGAATTAATATGGTGATGATGGTTAAGTAGTGAACATAACCTGGTTATGCAACATTACTTTCTTCCTTTCCCCTAATCTTAATCATAATGACAAAGGGCACAGAGGCCTTTGAGGGAGCCAGTAAAGATGAATTATAAAGAAATGCTGTGGTGGCTAGGGATTTGAAATTGAATGACTTATGACTTCTGAAAATTGGACATGTTCATGATACCTGGTTCAGGGATAGCTCTTTTGGCTCACTATATTGTTAGGGGAAATGCCTGCTTAAAGCTAAAAGTGAAGTCCAGGAATCCCAGATGAATGCTTTCTGATAGAGACCAGAGCCCTCTTGAACAGAAGCAGCCTCAACACAGCTTTGTTCTAACCTTAGATTATCTAGATAAATCAAAAAAAATCTTGCCTGTCCACAGAAGAAGAGAATAAGATACAAATTTTTAATAAGTTGGCCAGAATCTGGGTTTGAGTAATTAATTCTGTTGACAGTTTAAACAGGGGTATTTTTCATGTCCAGTGATTATATGCTGACTTCAGCAGTCTTCCTCATTCTGCATTCAATTTGGTATGAGCTATAGCCGTCTCCAGTTCCTTAATTACTTCAGGATTTTTTTTTTTTTTTGAGACAGAACCTCAAGCTGTCCCCCTGGGTAGAGTGCTGTGGCATCACAGCTCACAGCAACCTCCAACTCCTGGGCTCAAGTGAGTCTCCTGCCTCAGCCTCCCAAGTAGCTGGGACCATAGGTACCCACCACAACACCTGGCTATTTTTTGGTTGCAGCCGTCATTGTTGTTTGGCAGGCCCAGGCTGGATTCGAACCCTCCACCTTAGGTGTATGTGGCTGGCGCCTTAGCCACTTGAGCCACAGGTGCTGAGCCACTTCAGGATGTTGAATCAAAATTATGTTTCCAAACAGCCCAACGACTCTATAGTAAAAACTTTAGAGAGTGTGTTGAATACAACTGATTTATTGGAACAGTGTCGTAGTGTCTTCTGTCTCAAGTATCTCCCTCCCTTCATTCCTTCCTGTTTCTCAGATGCACAAATACACATATTCTCACTCTTTCTCCCTTGCCTAGTTTTGCCCTACAAAAGCTGAGGCCCGGAGGAGTGCTGCAAAGATTGCATTAATGAACTCTGTGTTTAATGAACATCCTTCCCGAAGAATCACTGATGAGTTCATTGAGAAGAGTGTCTCTGAGGCCCTGGCATCTTTCAATGTAAGTTGCATGGAGGTGGAAGGAAGAAGAGCAGGGGATGGGTGAACTGGCAAAGTTGGGAAGTCTTATTGGGAAATAGAAATGAATTCTTTTTTTCTTTCCTGTCTACCTCTCTGTTCTTTCTGTTTATTCTCTGTTGTGTCTTGTGTTCCATGTCTCAGTTTCTAATTCTACATGTGTTTATATGTGGGGTTTTGTTTTGTTCTGTTTTGAGATAGAGTCTTACTCCAGCATCCTGGGTAGAATGCCTTTGCACTGTAGCTCACAGCAACTTTAATCTCCTGGACTTGAGCAGTCCTCTTGCCACAGCCTCCTGACTAGCTGGAACTATAGGCACCTGCCACAGCGCCTGGCTAGTTTTTCTATTTTTCATAGAAACAGCGTCTCACTCTTGCTCAGGCTGGTCTCGAACTCCTCAGCTCAGTGCTAGGATTACAGGCGTAAACCACTGCAGCTAGCCTTGTGTTTATGTATTTTTTTTTTTTGTCTCCTTTCATTATATCTCTTTGAAACGTAGAAACTTTTTTTTTTTTTTATAGAGACAGAGTTTCATTTTTTCACCCTTGGTAGAGCGCTGTGGCATCACAGCTCACAGCAACTTCCAACTCCTGGGCTTAGGCAATTCTCTTGCCTTAGCCTCCCAAGGACTATAGACACCCAGCTATTTTTTTTGTTGCAGTTTGGCCCGGGCCAGCTTTGAACCCGCCACCCTCGGTATATGGGGCTGGAGCACTACCCTCTAAGCCACAGGCACTGTCCAGATATGTAGAAACTTTTAATTCAAGATTTATGGACTTTTATTATTTTAAAATGAAAACTGAGCTTGAATTTTGCTTTTCCCAATTTTGTTTTAAGACCTTAGTCCCTTATTATTGTTTTTAAAATAAGACTAGAATTTCTTTTTCCTTCTTTCTTTGCTTTTGTTTTGTTTTTATTTATTGTTTTTTTTTGTTTGTTTGTTTTGAGACAGAGTCTCACTATGTCACCCTCAGTAAAGTGCTGTGATGTCACAGCTCATAGCAATCTCAAACTCTTGGGCTTAAGCAACTCTCTCGCCTCAGCCTCCCAACTAGCTGGGACTACAGGCACCTGCCACAATGCCCAACTATTTTTTTGTTGTTATTGTTGCCATTATTGTTTAGTAGGCCTGGGCTGGGTTCGAACCCACCAGCCCCAGTGCATGTGGCTGGTGCCCTAACCACTTAGCTATAGGTGCCAAGCCTGTTTCGTTTTTAGAGACAGGGTATTGCTCTGCTGCCCAGGCTAGAGTGCAGTGGACCAGTCATACTTCACTGCAGCCTCAAACTCCTGGCCTGTGTTCTTCCTGCCTCAGCCTCCCAAGTTAATGGGATTATCGGCATGAGCCACTATGCCCATTAGACTTTTTATTGTCACTTGTCTCCTGCCTCCATTACTTCATCTTATCAATAAAGAACTCCTCTATATTATAGTGTCTTGTCTTTTTCCCTTTTGGAAATGAGGATGATAATTTATTTACTATTTTAAATAGTAATAACTGGTCTTTCAAATAATGATGATAATAATAATCACAGCTAATACTGAGTATTTACCCTGTGCCAGGGACTATTCTAGGGGATTTATACATTGTATTTTATCTCATTTGAATATCACAACAATCCTATGGAGTATAAGTACAATTATTACCCCTATTTTACAAATGAGGACACTAAAAACATAGAAGTGAAGTTTTGTCTAAAGTGAAATAGCTAGTAAGTGGTAGTGCCAACCAAGACTAGATAGAAAGCCAAGCAGACTTTGTTTTTTTTTTTTTTTTTGAGACAACTTCTTGTTCTGTCAACAAGGCTGGAGTGCAAGATATGGCTGGTGCATCCATATCTTACTATAGCCTCAAACTGCTGGGCTCAAGAATAGCTGCAACTATAGGCATACATTACCACACTTGGCTTTTCTTATTTTTTTGTAGAGATAGAGTCTCACGTAAGGCGGTCTCTGAAGTCCTGTCCTCAAGCAGATTCTCCCAGTTTAGCCTCCCAAAATGCTGAGATTACCCACACAGACCACCAGGCTGGGCTCTAAGCACTTAGTTTAGAATTACAGTTTAGAAATTGACACTGCCTTCATCCTTCCTCCCTGCAAATTCGTTAATAGGGTGATAAAGTCAGACCAATTTTCTGTTTCTGTTCTCTTTGCATTTAGTTAAGATATAATTACATATATTAAATTATTTCAGTTATCTTCTTTGTGGCTTGAATTAAATTATCTCTGATTCCTTTCCAATTATATTCTAATGATCCTTTCACTTATCAAGTATTCTGTGATGAAATGTTTGCTGAATAAATGGAGATGGTTTAACAATGTTAGATGTGGCCTTGGTGCCTATAGCACAGTGGTTATGGCGCCAGCCACATACAATGAGGATGGTGGGTTCGAACCCTGCCTGGGCCAGCTAGACAACAATGACACCAATAACAAAAAATAGCTGGGTGTTGTGGCAGGCACCTATAGTCCTAGCTACTCAGGAGGCTGAGGCAAGAGAATTGCTTAAGCCCAAGAGTTGGAGGTTGCTGTGAGCTGTGATGCCACAGCACTCTACCAAGGGTGACATAGTGAGACTCTGTCTCAAAATAAAAAAAAAAGTTAGATGTGGAATTGTGATACGAGGCAGAATTTCCAACCTGTTCATGCCATTCTGGTGTAGTCCAAATAAGTTGCATGCTTGCCATGATACTGATTCCCTTCAGCTCTCAGGGGACTGGGCAAGGCTGGAACAAATGGACTTCTCTACCCAAAACCACTCTGATTGCCAGCAGCCTCTGTGTATCCCAGTTGGCTATAAAAATATGATCATTATTTTATATGTACCATATTACAGAAAAGTTTGAGAGGCACTGAATAAAATATCATATTGAACAGTTACAAATAAAAATGAAACAGTCACTTACCTCAGAGCCCTAAGGCCTAATTTTGAAGATTATCTTTTTCCTTCCTCCCAGTAAAAGCCCTTCCAGATTTTTGCTTCTAAATCCAAATTTTGTGATCCTTGCTTCACCACAAAGATTATTATTAAACCATATGAGTTGGTAGTCTGACGTCCAGTTGATTCTAGCACAGTAAAAACAAATAATAATGATAATAATAATTAGTAGTACTCTTGGCTTACTTACTGAGTGGTTGGCATTATTTTAGATGCAATACATATACAGTATAGGAAAACCCTATAATAAACTTTATTTGGTTATAACCTGATTGGCTCCTGACTTCTACCTAGACCCCTTTCTCAAAGAATGCAGAATAGGCTTGGTGCCCATAGCTCAGTGGTTAAGGTGCCAGCCACATAATCAGAGCTGGCAGGTTTGAACTGGCCCAGGCCTGCTAAACAACAGTGACAACAACAAAAAAAAATAGCTGGGTGTTGTGGCAGGCACCTGCAGTCCCAGTTACTTGGGAGGCTGAGGCAAGAGAACTGCTTAAGCCCAAGAGTTTGAGGTTGCTGTGAGCTATGATGCCTCGGTACTCTACCCAAGGGCGACATAATGAGACTCTGTCTCAAAAAAAAAAAAAAAGTGATGCAGAATAAAGTTCTAATCTTGGGATATACAGGTGTGTGGAACTGGCTAGAAAGAATAGGCAACCTCTTAGGAAGCAAGAGGAAAAAGTTGGGTCCCCATGTTCCCAGTAGTATCCTGACCCTAATTTCCTAGAGCAGTTCACAAAAAGGTCACCAAAAGGAGATGCCCTATTGTGTAAGTCCCAGTCAGCCACAAGATTTGGAATTATCTCCAATAGTTAAACCAAAACCAAAAACGACCACCAAATGTACACCAAACCATCGCTAGTATCAGAATGGATTTGGATTATGTAACTTGACACCAGGTCCAGAAAAATAATGCATCTACATTTTATATGATTGGTGTTTCTAGACCGCATTTATTCCTTTTTAACCTTTTTTTTTTTTTTAGACAGAATCTCACACTCTGTCACCCTAGGTAGAATACCATGGCATCATAGCTCACAGCAACTTCAAACTTCTGGGCTTAAGCAATCCTCTTGCCTTAGCATCCCAAGTAGCTGAGACTACAGATGCCTGCCTGGCTAATCTTTTCTATTTTTAGTAGAGATGGGGTCTTCCTCTTGCTCAGGCTGGTCTTGAATTCCTAAGCTGAGGCGATCTACCTGCCTGGGCCTTCCAGAGTGCTAGGATTACAGGCATGAGCCACTGTGCCCAGCCTTAACTATTTATTTATTTATTTATGTTGCAGTTTTTGGCTGGGACTGGGTTTGAACCCACCACCTCATGCATATGGGGCCAGCACCCTACTCCTTTGAGCCACAGTCACCACCCTTAACTTTTTATTTTTAACTTATAAAATATACTTAATTCTCAAAACATCCTATAAGGTAGGTCTATGATCATTCCTATTTTACAGAAGAGGAAACTGAGGAAGAGAAAGGTTAAATGACTTGACTAAGGCTATACTACTAGTAGGAGCTTCAGTCCAACCTCTGAACTTCCATGCCAGGCATCTTCAAACTATGGCCCGTAGGCCACATGCAGCCTGCCTAGGACGTTTATCCAGCCTGCCAGGTTATTGCCGCCGCTGCCTGTCCTGCTTAGCAGCTGACTCATCCCGGGGCCCACAGTCTGGCCCTCCAACGGTCTGAGGGACAGTGAACTGCCCCCTGTTTAAAAAGTTTGAAGACCCCTGTTCCATGCTGTACTAATTTTTGCACATATTAGACTTGAAGGCAGAACAATGTGTTTTAGTTCTACCCTTGCAGGGATATACCAACAGTAGACACATTAGGAGGCCTAAATATCTCATGCTTATGAATTGTACTATTTCTCTTTAAAATTCATTGCCCAGTTGTCCTTTAGGCCTGTGATCCCCAACCTAGGCACCCTGTTAGGAATTTGGCCACAAAGCAGGAGATGAGTGGTAAAGGAGGGAGCTAGTGAGCAAAGCTTCATCTGTATTTACAGCCACTCCCTATGGCTTGTATCACATCACCACCTGAGCTCCACCTTCTGTCAGATAAGCCAAAGCATTGCATTTTCATAGGAGCGGGACCCTGCTGTAAACTATGCATCTGAGAGATCTAGATTGAGCACTACTATGAGAATCTAATGCTTGAAGATCTGAGGTGGAGATGTAATACATTTGAATCATCCACAGACCCCCCCCCCCACTCTATGGAAAAACTGTTTTCCATGAAATTGGTCCCTGATACCAAAAAGGTTGGGTATCACTGCTTTAGACTAATTCAATACTGAACTCATATTATTTAGGCTAAATCAGAGCACTTCTCTCTGCCTTAGTGTTCCCACTTTGTAAAATAGAGAAAATCAGATTAACCTTTTCCTGTTACCTACACATCTGTGCTGACCAACAGAACAAAAACCAGCTCCATATAGTTATTGAGCATTTGAAATTGGTTAGTATGAATTGAGATGTGTTCTAAGTATAAAACAGGCTGAGTGCTGTGGTTCATGCCTATAATCCTAGCACTCTGGGAAGCTGAGGTGAGAGGATCCCTTGAACTCAGGAGATCAAGACTCTTGTCTCTACTAAAAATAGAAACATTAGTTGGGTATCCTGGCAGGTTTCTATAGTCCAGCTACTTGGGAGGCTGAGAGGCAGGAGGATTGCTTGAACCCAGAAGTTTGCAGTTGCTATCAGCTAGGCTGATGCCATAGCACTCCATCTGGGCAACAGAGTGAGACTCTGTCTCAAAAAAAATTAAATAAATTAAAAAAAAAAAGTGGGCCAGGTACAGTGACTCATGCCTATAATCCTAGCACTCTGAGAGGCTAAGGCAGGTGGATTGCTTGAGTTCAGTAGTTCAAGACCAGCCTAAGAAAGAGCGAGACCCTGTCTCTAAAACTAGTCAGACATTGTGGCACCTGTAGTCCCAGCTACTCAGGAGGCTGAGGCAACAGGATCACTCAAGCCCAAGTGTTTGAGTTTGCTATGAGCTATGATGCTATGGCACCCTACCTATGTCTCAAAAAAAAGGTATGGGGTAGCACCTGTGGCTCAAAGGAGTAGGGCGCCTGCCCCATATGCCAGAGCTGGCAGGTTCAAACTCAGCCCTGGCCAAAAACTGCGA